GCGGCATTATTACAACATTTTGCATCCCCCATTTTCTCCTTTTTTGTAATTGCATTTGCATTTTCGATTATTTTGCACAAGCAGCTACAGCAGATCACATGTGGTTTGAAACAGTGTTGTAATAAAGGTAAATGTATAAACACCAAGCTTCATCCAGAATGTAATTTTAACGATTGAATCACTCTCAGTATAAATATATGAGCTTATAATAATGAATCTTTGAGCAAAAAAAGGGCCATTTATTATTTAAAATGGCAAAAACTAGCGTAAATAATTAAACAAGAGGAGAATACATGTATTAAACAAAATAAGACAACAAAATATAAGAGTTACACTTAAATTATGCATTTCTTAAATACACCCCTTGGTTGGCTTATTATATTTGACAATAGACAATCAATGAATCCCCTGCTTCCATTTACAAGCACTCATCTAGGGATTAGGGTCAATAAAGGACATATTTTGTTTTCAAAGCAGCAGTTGTTGTGCAGGTTTTGTGTAAAATGAGCCCTCTGATATCAATACACACCGCTGAGAATTGTGGGTAAGTGTGAACTGTAAACATTATTTCATCAATGGCATGCTTGAAGCAGCTGTAGTGAGAGAGCATGGAGGAAACAGGGAAACATGGACATCTGCTGGTGGAAGGAGGGACATAGAAAACAGACTTTACTGTAAATTGGGTCATTGACATCCAGAGTAATAAAGTCATGTTTTTACATCAAACCGAAACTTGGACATCTGCCAATACAAACGTACTCTCCAGTGTGAATTATGATTGGCTGATTCTTGATAAGAATCTTCAGTTTTATGATACCTACAGCTCTTGTTGTGTCATTATGGGCACTTACTTACCCATTGGAAGAGCTTTAAAACCAGATCAAACTGGGATAAAATACACAAATTAAGCTTTTAAAGATAACGTGTCCATAACCTTAAGTTGCATTTTCTTTTGAAGACCAGGTTCAGGCTGTTTATAGTTATGTAACTAAAATGTATAACATTGACGTGTGAGCTTCAAGTTGGAAGAACGTTTATTAATGAAATGCAGGTTCTCCACAACCCTGAAAAACATTGTTTGGGGGCAAATTAAAAAAATAATAACTTTGACATTTTTGAAAATACATTATTCCCTTTCCTGCTGACAGTTAGATGAGAAGATGTCTGTACATTAATCTGTATGAAACATTAAATAAATGGAGTTCACATGTTCCAGCTTCTCTGTTTCTCTTCTTTTTTTTTTAAGAATAGCGGTAAGTAAAGTTCTTAGTATGACAAATAAATTGTGCAACAAATAACAAAATGTAGGGAGAAGAAAGAGGAAGGACAAAAACAGAAAACCTTTAATAAAAATGTGATTCAATTTGAAATGTCTACATAATTTTGCCAATTAATATTTTCTGAAAAGGCTATATTCAAATTAGTTTCAATATTAGTGTTAGGGTAGTCTTCTAGGCTTTGCTAAGTTATTCATTAAGTTAATCGTCTTCAGAGAAATTGTGATTATTCAAAATCAGTACTGTCGAGTACTCGCGTTCATATTGTTAACTCAAATATATTTGGTATTGCATTTTTCGTCTAACTCTCGGCAAGAAAGTCTAAATTGAAGCTCTCAATGTCAAACTAAATGTTGGAAAAATAACATGTTTTAAGTAACAAAAGCAATATTTAAGACCTTTAATCTCTGCACATTTAAATGACAAATGTCTAGCATGTCTAACCCAATAGTTAAATTCAATGACTAGGCCCTATATCATGTTTTTCTGAATCCAAAGGTTAACTGTACCATTAACCGGTAAATACATAGTGTAGCTGTCCTCATTCAATCCTTCTGTATAGTTAACTGTATGTGTGCATAGTTGCTGCTGAAGGATGGGGGGAGCCTGGCCACAATAAGACCAGCTGATCAAACATTTACCCACCTCCCCGGCTAACCCTTTATCAAGAACCTGAACAAACCTGGAGACATTTTTAAAACCATTCCTCCTCCTCGACGGGATGCAGCAGCTGGCCTGATTGGTTCTTCAAGTGTCGCTGCTTTGTCGCTCATCCATCCTGATCCTGAATCCTGAATGCCATTCCTCATCAGCATCCACTCTCCAAATCTTTAACCCCAGCAGACATGTTGACAAAATCAGTTTGGAGAGGATGACAGAGGGTTGGCACTTTGTTAATATCCTCAGGTTGAAGAAGAGTAGAAGTACAAAGTAGAAATAAGTTAAATCCTCAAGTAAGTCAAAATTGTACTTAAGTAGGCTACAACTTGAGTAAATGTACTTAGTTACTTTACCCCACTGCAAATCAATATAGAATAGAATAACAAATAAAGTATGATACATCTGGTTATAAAAAGGTAAACTTAAAGGTGGGGTAGGTAAGTTTGAGAAACCGGCTCGAGATACACTTAACATCCCGATAGCAATGAATATCTTAAATGCTTTGACAAAAAATCCATACAAAAATGTCATCTCTGGAAGCCGTGGCGCTGTAAAAAGCACGACCAATCATCTGAGCCGGCCCGGCTAAAATAACTGGATGGCCTACCTGCCTGTCAGCCTTCCATCTGGGCACACATTTATCTCGTGCCCTCATTGGTCATGTGCGCGTTCGTGTGTGTTGGAGGAGGGGCTCTGTAAAGAAGTGGCAGATTTGTTCCGCTGTGTATTTTCAAATTCTAGCGCACTCGAGCTGGTTTCTCCAAAATTACCTACCCCACCTTTAAATAGAATAATTACATATTTTCGACTAAAATAGTTTGCTGCATTCCCTGTTTGGCCATAAACAGAGCAAACTGAGGAATATGAGGCTTTGAAGACATGAATTGCCAGTGCATCCCTTATATCAAATATAAACTCAAATACACAGTGGGGCAAAATAAAAAAATGGGTACTCGTCGAGGGCCGGACTGGTTCAATGTTTATTGCAGAACTTATTGAAATGAACTTATTGCACATATTAAACCTGGAAATAACAAAGCTTAAATTATTGCCAATAAAAACAACATTAAACATTAAATAATCAGTTGCATTCATTTCTTATGGCTCTATCTGCAGCTTTTCCGGACTCATTTCTTATGATTACATTTTCCCACAGGCCAACAACAGCTTCAACAAAACTATTCCCCTCAAAGAGAAAACCAAACATGCCCTGTTGTCGTGAGAGAAAGTGCAGAAGGAAACATCCATTAAACTCAGTGTGCTGCTCTGTGATGCTAGCTCAGATACTTGGCATCTCATCTTGGGTGCAAGGTCATCAATGTTTGGGGTCAGGCTCTGAGCTGAGGAGACCCTCAGGATGGAGTGAAGGTGTGCGTGCAATATACCGGTGGGCGAGATCTAATAGTAATCAAACATTATCCTACGGGCCGAAATTAAATCCACCAAGGGCCTGATTTGGCCCCCGGGCCTTGCGTTTGACACATGTAAATCAATCAATCAATCAATCAATCAATCAATCAATCAATCAATCAATCAATCAATCAATCAATCAATCAATCAATCGGATACGGCTGTAATAGGCCTAAGGCCTTTTAGTCGCTCATAAATAAATAAGTAGATCAATGACTCTTTATTTACTATGGATGCTGCTGGCAACAGTCACATAGTCCAAAGTGAAGGTGATGTTTGACCAGTAATGGTCGAGGCGGGATTTGAGACAGTTAACCGTCTTGGATGTTGCCCATGTGCCTGAAGAACATGATGTATATTCTGAACACTGCTTCCCATCGACATGCAGTCTAAGTGTACCCCTACATAAAGAGAGAACATAATGTAGAACATCTTTCTCACATTCAGTTTCCATGCTGGGTGTTACGCCAATTGACGAGTGCCTCTATTGGTGGTGTAGCTGCAATGCTGTATGAATCCACTAGGTGGCAGTGTTTCATTATAATTCACATTGCATCTGCCATTCATTCCACATGTCCAGTCAATAATAGCCAATTAGATTTAGATCGTGTTGGTGTATATCAAATATATTCAAATGTATTGTGAATGAAAACCACTTTTTACTTGTATTTATTGTTTCAAATTTGATTACACTGCATTAGCTAAAAAGGCCACCTAAGATGGTCTTTATAAAAAATAGTTTCAGAAGGACATTTAAAATGTAATCACAGTTGTTCTAAATGAAATGCTGAGCACATTTGCACTCTAATTCAAGGCGAATAGTGATACACAGTATTCTCATGTGGTGTATGGCGGACATTTCTTATGACAGCTTGCACACAAATGCTGCTTAATAGTGGTCTCCAATCTCTTCTGATATTTCCATTATTTAATCAATTTATTGCATTATAAATCAACAGATGTCTATATTACAGCCTCCAGGAAACAGTATTGAGCCACTTGACTCTCTAAAAGTTGTACATTTCTTGGTTTAAATCCACTGAAGTGCAAATGCCTAACTAGAAGATTAAAGTCAATTGTGCAAAACATTTCCAAATAACCAATCAACATGTGCCATTTCACTGTTGAAAAGAAACAACAATCACCCACTGTGAAAAGGCATGGTAAATACAGGCTTATCAGTTAAAGTGGTCTGTTCTCCTTGCAGGTGCAAAAGTACGCTCCAAGCGGGACTTGTGGCGCGCCTGTGGTGGGGAGAGGGAGGGGGGAGAGGGAGGGGGGAGAGGGAGGGGGGGTTAAAACCAGCGAAACTGACTGTTCTTACTGCAGAGAACCACTCATTCCACATATATTTGAATGCCCTTTGTGTGTGTGTGTGCGTGCGTGTGCGTGTGTGTGTGTGTGTGTGTGTGTGTGTGTGTGTGTGTGTGTGTGTGTATGTGTGTGTGTGTGTGTGTGTGTGTGAGAGAGTGAGTGAGTGAGTGAGTGAGTGAGAGTGAGAGTAATGAATAGATTGACAGAGAGAGAGAGAGCTGCTGAAGCAAATCTCCAGCCAATCAGAAACCCCCTCAGGCGTTTAAAGGGATGGTGGGCAGTCTCTCGGGCTTTATGAGACTTATCTTACAACCTCCTCCATACATTCTCACGTCTTGATCTCCCACAGACACTCACACAGAGCCGGGCGTTTGGATGAGAAACAGTGGGCATGGATCTGTCCTGAGAGGAGCTTTTCTTGCTTTTCCTCCATATGAGCTGCTGCTGCTGCTGGGTGATATTAGCCCTCCCCCTCTGCACTTGTTGCGCAGACACTGGATGCGTTGAGTCTTTGGAGAGGATAGGAGAGGAGAGGAAGCACTGCAACAGGTGCACAAGAGAGTCTCCGCCTGGAAGGCTGCATGACAGGAGGTAAGGACATTACGCAGCATTTGGCAATTTCTTGGGATTAATGTCTTGCTCTCTTGGAATATGTTGACCTATTTTATTTATGGTGATTTGAGTGCAAGGTCTATTTAGATTCGTTCAAATACTTTTTTTTTTCACTTCAAGATAACTTTAAATGCCAATTTGAAGATCTTCTGGTCACCGTGCGTAAAACAGAAAGGATGCCAGTTCTGACAAGCCCCGATATCGCCAACAAGTTCCAGGAGAAATGGCTGGCGGTGTTCCCGGAGGACCAGGCCACCGGGTCGGACTCAGTCCCCATGGATGACAGCCTCACCAGCCTCCACTGGCTGCAGAATTTCTCCATCATCAACGCGGACCCGGAGCGACCCAACGAATCCGGAACGGGCTGCCCGTCCTCGGACCTTTTCCTCAAGCGGCTCCCCAGAGGAGGCACCGACTCTCCGTCCAGCCCCCCCGCCGGGGACACTGCGTCCACCGGGATGCCTCTGTACCTCGGCAGCCCCGTGACCTCCGGCAGCGACTCGGGACCGCGCTTCATAGACTGCGTACATCCAGGACACGGTTACGCGCAGATCCCCATCCAGGCCAGCCCGCCTGCGGAGGTCGACTACAAAACCAACCCTAAAGTCAAACCTCCTTACTCCTACGCGTCCCTCATCTGCATGGCGATGCAGGCCAGCAAACAGCCCAAAGTGACTCTGTCCACCATCTACAACTGGATCACGGAGAATTTCTGCTACTACAGACACGCAGAGCCCAGCTGGCAGGTAACTGAGACTCTTGTATTATTGATGAGTCAGACAAATGGCGAGGTGAGGGAGAGGAGGGTGAGCATAGATCCCCACCATCACGCATGCTGCATGCAGGCAGTAGTGTAAAAATAACTACTAAAGTACTGTACTAGTGCAATTTTGAAGTATTTTACTCGAGTATTTCAATTTTTTGCTTAAACTCCACTAAATAGTGTACTTCACTCCACTACATTTATTCTACATCTTTAGTTACTTCACAGATCTGGATTAATGATGTGAAATCTAATCAGCTCTTAAATCAGACTTTAGTTCCACCTGGAGTAAACTCACAAGCTACCCTGCAGAATACAAAGTCATTCAAACTAGCTGCACCTTCACCAGCTTTGAGAACACTTTAATGAACAATCATTATAAAACATATCATATATATTATTCTGGACACAATGACTACTTTACATTTTGGTACTTTAATTATATTTTGATGCCAATACCTTTCTAATTTTAATTGAGTAACATTTTGAATACAGGACCTTTACTTGTAACTGAGTATTCCTACACTCTATTTTTATTTAAGAACAAGATATGTACCTCTCCCACATCTGTCTGCAGGACATCAGACAATGCCTTTCTTTTGTGGGGAAACAAAAACCAGCAGATGCAGTGTGTGTTTTACATCCTCCAGCATGTCCCCCTCTTTTTTTCTACTTCACAAGATAAGAGTCTCATTTGGGCCCTTTGATAATTTCAATGACAAGTAATCTTTAATGCAAGAGACATTTCCATCTTCCAAGAGAGGAGAGCGCTCATAGGGTTTTTGTCTGAGGGGAACGGTGATGGGGTGGAGAAAGCACTCTGTGTGTGTGTGTGTGTGTGTGTGTGTGTGTGTGTGTGTGTGTGTGTGTGTGTGTGTGTGTGTGTGTGTGTGTGTGTGTGTGTGTGTGTTAATGAGGGCTCCTGAGAGAGATGGCAGCTAAGCACAGCTGATCATGTTTGAAATGCACAGAGCTGCCTGTTTCTAGAAAGCCTCATTAGGTACATTTGATTTCCCATACAAACAACAATACAACACACACACACACACACACACACGCATGCACGCACACACACACGCGCGCGCGCACACACACACACACACACACACACACACACACACACACACACACACACACACACTTTTCTCTTTCTCTATTCTCATTTACCTCACAAAGACAATCTGACACGTTCAGTTTGTGCGTGACAGATCTGCTCAAAGCCACTTACGAATGTATTCTTTTTAAAGGATGAATTTAAACGGCCGATAATTCAAAGCTTTTTATATTGTCCGTCCTGCAAACCCCTAGTTTTGCACATTGAACACAAATCTACCTTTTTTAATACCTGCATGGCAATAATATTAGGTTGAACCTAAAACGTTTTTATTTAAACTTATATTATTGCTTTCAACCAACCTAATACAGTTTTGTGAAATCTGTTGACATAATGCATTAAATTACATGTTTCAGTTTATTCACTGCCATCCTGAAAACAAATCAATATTCTGCATTCCCTAATTTTGTTTCCTTTGTCCCAGAACTCCATCCGGCACAACCTGTCCCTCAACAAGTGTTTCAAGAAGGTCCCGAGGCAGAAAGACGAGCCGGGGAAAGGGGGCTTCTGGCAGATCGACCCGCAGTACGCAGACATGTTCGTCAACGGCATCTTCAAACGCAGAAGGATGTCTGCTAACAGCTACAACAATAATAGTGGCCCCCACAGACAGAGCAAACTGAGTTATCACAGCGTCCAAAACGTCTGCCCTTACCAAGGCGGGAAACGGAAGCACTTACCGGTGAAGAGCGACAAGCTGATGAGGGCGACGGAGTCTCCTCTTTTAGCGACGGACGCTCACAAAGCGGACATCCTGAGGGGCGACTTCGACCTGGCATCCGTGTTCGACGACGTCCTCGGCGGGAACTGTAGCACCTTCGAGGATTTGGACATCAACACGGCACTGAGCGCCTTGGGTTGTGAGACGGAGGTTTCCCTGCAGGGGAGGCAGCATCCGGGGAGGTGGTGCAACGGAGGGGACATCTTAGGGAACCAGTACCTGAACCACCACCAACCCTACGGGTACTTGGATATGAGCGGGGCGTCCCTGGACTGCAGTATCGGGGAGATCCACGTGCCGCAGCAGCTTCATCCAGACCAGGATCAGCTGATGCATCACCATCAACACCTGCAGCAGTTCGATGAGACGTCGACGTTGTTCCCAGAGGAGGTGGTGCCCTGGGAGAACATTAAGGAAGAGGAGCAGGCGATTCCTCTGACTCTGGATCAGGGCTTCGGGCTGTGCGAGGGTTTCTTCTCAGAGATGCAGCCATGGGAGCGAGTGGAAGCCTATCTGTGACCTTTGACCCCCAAAACCTCATTGACTCCTAATGATCTACATCCAATGACCTGAACATGTCTGACTACTGGTCGAACGGTGAAGAGGATAAGAACTACGGCTCAATCATTCTGCAATACATCTGTCATTTTGTTTTCTAATAATGACCTACAAACCTGATATTGTCAAACCTATCTTGAACATTAACATGAAACTAGTTAACCAGTTAATTTAGTTGAGATTCCCTTGACACAAGATCAGACTCGAGCTGCAGTGATAAGACGATGCATAGAAAGATATTTCCGAACTTCTTTGACAATTGGTTCATTGTTAAAGTCATTTTTAATGCAAAATTGCATAAAATGCTGTTTCCGTCTCTCAAATATGGAGATGTTTTACTTTGTTTTATAATACCTTCAAGTCAATATCTTTGGGTTTTTGACCAGCAAAACAAGACTTTTGAAGATAACACCTTGGACCTTTTCAAAAACAATAAAAAAATGTATCTAGACATTTAATCAGCAGATATTAATAATGAAAAGGATCTGTAGTTGCCGCCCTAGATCTGATTAAGGATTATTTCCCTGCATAGACTCTCATCTCTCCCTAAGGGTGTCGGGTGATTGACAGCCGTGCGTAACATGACACCACACTGATATAGCAGGCACAAAGAACAGAGAAACTTTTATAAACCAAATGAAAGTTTCATGTGGACTGCGAAGGATTGTCGATCCCACTCGTTTGGATTTTCTGGAACTATAACGGCCTAAATGTCGGACAGCTGGTGATAAAAGCATGCGTGGAAATGAGTGCTGAACTGCAGCAATATGTCTCTTTGTTTTTTGTTGAGATGATGACAGAAGCAAAGTGAAGAAAACCCGACCCTCCTTTAAAGCACTCTTCACGAAAAAGCACTGGACTGAGAAAACGTGCAGGACTCTACTTTTGCTACATTAGCATTTAACATTTTTTTTACTAACATGCAGCGAAATCAGCCATTCATCATTCATTAGATCAGGATGGAGACTTTAAAGTCATAGACTGAGATTAGTCATTTATGACCTTGTTGTATAGTCGATTTAATATATATTCACTAAAGTTTATCGCATGAAGCTAGGCAGGAATATTTGCCATTTGACCGGAAAATGAAACGCCTTCTTGTCATGAAAATCGAACATTATGCACTTTGATAGGCAGCAGTTTTAGGAAAGCAAGACCGCTTTTATTTCCAGGTTGTTTAGTTTAATTTTGTATTAAAATGTTTCCTAAAAGTTTACTGACCATAATGAAAGTGATGCATTTGCTGTAATTATCCATATCAGTTTGTCTTTTAACAATGAACTCAACGCTGCAATAAGTCAATGGGCTTTTTTAATTTGTCGCTTATATTTACTGTTTTTCTTTCCAAATATATACAAAACTAGGCATTTGTTGATCATATTTCGCCAAATTTGTTGATGAGGAATATGCAGTTTATGGTGATCTGTGTTGTTTAATAAGAAAAACATCTGTTTTCTGTCACTGGGTGATGGATCGGTCCTTATTGATTTATTTGGTGTATGTCTTTTTTTTAAATCTCTATGGTTTGTTTTCACAAATCTGAAATTGAAATGTGTTTGAGAATATAATAACTCGATGATGAGCAGATACATAAACTCTTAAAGGCCAGATTTTCTTATTTGTATCATATTGATCGAGGTTGATACGAGCTCTTTAATCCTACCATGTTATTTTAATTTGTACTTTTTTAAGCTGTTTAAAAATGCAATCATGCCTTGATGCAATAAATGGTGTCAATTAAAGAAAGAACAATAACAAAAACGTTCAATCAATCAATAAATCAATGTTTATTTATTTAGCCCAATATCACAAATGTTACATTTGTCTCAGTGGACTTCAGAGTGTGTACAGAATATCAGTATGACAATACGACACCCTCTGTCCTTAGACCCTCACATCGTACAAGGAAACACTTCCGGAGAAAACCCACAGTTTAAAGGGAAACATGGGAGAAACCTCAGGGAGAGCAACAGAGGAGGGATCCCTCTCCCAGGACGGACAGACGTGCAATAGATGCCGTGTGTAAATTGAAAAGATAATACATTTGCAACATAGGTAGTCCAAATGTTTGGAAATACGTGTGTGTATAATAGGAAGATTAATCCACGAGGATATCCATCCAGGACTTATGATCCAGGACCAACAGGCACAGCCACGACTCAGGATCCCGGCGTAGATAGACATGAAAAATAAATGTGGGGAAGCTGGGTTATTCGGAACATGAGTTCACATGTCATTGAGAAATATCAAAGAGTGTGTGAGTGCAGTCCTTAAAGGGAACCTATTCTGCTTTTCGGCGTTTTCCCTTTCCTGTGTTATATAGGTTTTAATGCATGTAAATGGTCTACAAAGGCAAAAATCCCTGTGTTCCCTCCAGAGGGAGTTTCTCTCCCACACACTCCCCCCCTCTGCCTGAAACTTCTCCATTAGACTCCTTTGTTTACTTCCGAAACATAGTGACATCACGATGTACTGCTCGTGCTTCTGTTGGTTAGTGCTCCAACACATTGTACCTGACAGGCTAAGGGGCGGGACATCTCTAAGCGGTTGACCAATCACAACAGAGCTAACCAAAAACCAATCAGAGCAGACTGGGCTCTGGTTTCAGACAGAGGGTGAAAAGAGGTACTGCAGCACAGACAGTATGAGAAAAATAAAGAGCTTTTTGAACATTAAAGCATGAGACATGTCACAGTAGAGACACTACATACTGATATGAAGCTGAACATCAGCATAATAGAGCCCCTTTATAGCTATAGTCAGGAGTATTGAGTTAAATCTCCATGTGTGCAATGAAGAGATAACATGTGTTTGTTGATCATTAATTAGCACGGACAAGTCTAGACCTTCTTGGTATTTGAACATACCATACTTATACCATACTTACATATATATACATACATATATACATACATACATACATACATACATACATACATACATACATACATACATACCTACATACATACATACATACATACATACATACATACATACATACCTACCTACCTACCTACCTACCTACATACATACATACATACATACATACATACATACATACATACATACATACATACATACATACATACATACATACATACATACATACATACATATACCATACCATACTTATAACAGCTCTACAATATAGTGCAGTCTGATAATAGACAGTGTTTCAAAGTATAATCTTTTTTTCTACCGAGTAACATTCAGGATCAAATTAGTCAAATAAGTGCACAAATATCTCTAAAACAACACTGCAACTCCAATGAAGCCAGTTGACCCTGCATCTATCAAGTCTCACAGCTGTTAGAAACTGCCCTCATAACGCACCACCACACCACATCTCACCAACATCCAGGATTTCAGTTGCACGCCCTGTATGAAAATGTGCTTTTCCACCTCAAATCTCTTTTTAATTGAACTGCTGGATGAAACAGGGGAGAAATGCGGCTTATCCCCGTCCCTCTGGCCCGCGGCTCCCAGCAGCGACCGCTCATGTGTGGAGATCTCCAGGAATGGGTGGAATAACTCAGATTCCTAAAAACAGCAGGACTGCAGGCTGATCGAGGCCCAAGGTGTGTGACCATTGGTCGCCATGCGTGGAGAAAAAATCACTGCAGCAAATAGAGAGGCTGATCCTGCAACAGCTGCAGGCGTTAATGGATTACCTAACGGGCAAACCGGCCACTGGACCAGGGGCCAGAAATGTCAGGAGCATTGGCTGTGAAATGTAACTTGAATGAAATGTGCACAAGATAACATAACACTACTTCACAAAGAGCCAAAACAATGGCAAAGAGACACAAAAAGAGCAAAACAACTACAAGATACACAGAAATAAGTACAAAAAGACAGAAGGACCACAAAGAAACAGAAGGACCACAAAGGGACATGAATCAATACAAATAGGGGCTTAAAACCAAAAAGGGACAAGCAATTACTTAAAAACAGATGCAACGTAACTGAAAACAGACACAAAGTAACTTCAAAAAGGGCCAAAATAAACACAAAGAATCACAAAATGGCCACATATCGACCCAAATCTAGAAATAGCGGCTGATGACCAAAAGAGACAAATAGTTATTAAAAAGACAAGTAAAGCATCTGCAAAGAATAATTTCAAAAAGGTGCAAAAAAATCACAGAGACAGACATTACAACAAAATAGCGTAAAACTGGCAAAAAAGACACACAATGGCTTAAAAGGGACCAAAAAAATGCCACCAAGAGACACAAAAACACAACGAAATAGACGTAAAATGACCAAAAGACATACAATGGCTTAAAACAGATTCAGAAATGATGGTAAAAAGACACAAAGCAACCATAGAAGAGGCTCAAAACTCCCACAAAGTCTGTTAACTTGCTCCTACTTCTGTGCCCAGGGGCCATTGTCTCATAAGCAAGTCACTTTATGCTGGTTAGAGCCCTAAGGGGGACGTCTTTTTTAGGAAGAACTGTTAGGACAGCAACATCAGTGTCACTGTCAAACTCAAGTTGAAGGCTAAAGAGGCATCCTTTGTACCCAAATACAACAAGTGTGTGTGTGTGTGTGTGTGTGTGTGTGTGTGTGTGTGTGTGTGTGTGTGTGTGTGTGTGTGTGTGTGTGGCCTAGCATTACTATACTTGTGGGGACCTAAATCTGTTTACACAGTCACGTGTGGGGACTCGTCTCCCTCATGGGGACAAAATGGAGGTCCCCATGAGCGGAATCATTAATTTTAGGGTGAAGACTTGGTTAGGTTTAGGATTAGGGTTAGGGTAAGGGTAAGGTTAAGGGTAAGGGTTAAGGTTAGGCATGTGTTGGTTATGGTTAAGGTTAGGATAAGTCTCCAGGAAATGCATGTAAGTCAATGCAATGTCCCCTGAAGGGATGTATACATGGTATGTGTGTGTGTGTGTGTGAACTTCCACATTTGTCTCTGTTTTGTCTGAGTACATGTGCTTGTATGCGGTCACATTATATGCCCGTAATGTTTGTGTTGGTCCACAGGCTTCTTTGTCTGCGCTCCCCACTGATGTGTGTGTTCCCCGCAGAGAGTGTGTGTTCTTGGAGCCCCGTGGCGACCCAGATAACACTATCTCTGTGGAGCCAGAGCCCCGCAGTTCTATTCAGCGCTGAGGATGAAGGCCGGGGACTGCCCAGCACGCGGACATGCTCAAAGAAGAAGCAACAAGCTGGGCTGTCACTGTCGGCTAACCTGGTTTATAATGCTTTATAACCTCCTCCTTAGTGCCCCCGCGGGGAGCTCCGCAACATGTGTTTGTGTGTGAGCTGGGAAAGGGTTACACAGAGGAGGGCAAGAGACAAGAAGGGGGTGTATTCGGTGTTTTATTGCCACCATGGCACCCTCTGGACCGCTCCTGATTAGAGTCAAGCACAAACAGGGTCAAGCGGCTTTGCTAAAGAAGCGCCCCTCCCAGCGTGACATAGACACTTTCCATTTATTTGGGATGGATGCAGGGCTATTCTTTAAAAGGGGGACAGCTAATAGAAGACACATGATGGGGGTCCCGCACTAATTAGATCTTTCATTGTGGCACAAAGCAAAAAGTGGCAGTGGAAAACGCCCTGAGCCTGTTTTATAGCCCCTGAGGAACACCCTGAGAGTGAGTGGGTACATGTACAAATCAGCGTTAGATCACTCTGATAAATGCAATTTCCTAATGAATCCAGAATCACACGATAGGAAGAGGACCTTCAGCGGGAGTGACCTTCGTCTCTCTGAAGTGGCGGGAAATTGTCGTCCAGCTCTGGTTTCCAAACCCTCATCACATATTGATAAGGGAAAAAGACTGGGGTGATATTCAGCGGTCTGTCGTACCATTAAAGCCTCTCCAGATACAAGAGGACTTGGACAGGAAACACACCTAAACAGTCTTTCCAACAGGCTGTTGTTTATGTATGAAATGCTAATGAAGGTTTCCATTTAGATTGCCTGTTCCATTTTGAAAGGAATTGCGGATTAGAATAAAAGGACTGCAGTAAGGTGAAGGGGGTTTTCTTCCATTTTCGGGAGATTAGGCTTTTACCTACTTGCATAATTGGTCAAAGTGTGCACATGGCCATGTTTACATCATTAAGAACAGGATCATTACTCTAAGAACTGAATGTTACCTAGCTTTATCCCACCACAAAAGCCTTATGTTATCGGTGGAGGTTTTTTTGTCCAGGAGCGCCTTTATTCCTCCCAACGTGGAGATGACTAATG